GCAATGGTTGAACTTATTTCCTGAAATAGAAGCATAGGCCTGGAAACAGGGGTGGGGTTTTCATTTACTAACCACCCCAGCCGGGGAACGCTTCCGAATGTGAGGTCTCTCGCCTGAACAAGGTGAGAAGATATTTTTTCCCTCCCTCTTCTCTTGCAGAGACGGAGACAACGGAAACGTGTAGAACTGCAATATAGAACACTCGCAGTGGTAGAGGCCGGAACGTGGCTTACTACCGAAAGAAATCTGGACGCTCGATTGGCCGTGGCCATCTCCTGTCCTGTGCAAACTGACTGACTGACTGACTGACTGACTGACCCGAACTGACCCGAAGGTCGTTGAGAGGCACAAATGGAACAAGATCTGAAAAAGAGTCCGTGTGAAGGTCCTAAAGTAGAACTCTTATTTTGCTTACTCCGGAGTGATTGCTGCCAGAAGGTGATTTGCCTCATATTTCCATAACGTTTCTATCCAGGAAGGGCTAACACCGCGACAGTGCCTTAGTCGGGAGCATTTACCAAAGGAGTGCGCCGAGGCAAGCCGTGTATTTAACTACTGTCGTATGGAATTGGTATGTCCTCAGTATTTCTCTATTCGTTTTTAGATCAATAGGAAGTCTAGACTTCGGTCAACAAAATACGCTTATAAATCCTAAAGAACCTTCACATACAATGGCAACCGTATTTGTTACTGTCGGGACTACGCAGTTTGATGACCTGGTAGTTGAGGTAAACAAACCCTCGTTTCACATAGCCTTGTGGCTGATCGGGTACCGTAAACTCATTGTGCAGTATGGAAACGGAACTATAATCCCAGAATCACCTTCAGCTGAATCCATTAAAGAGGTGTTTGAACGCTTGAAATGCCATGGTACCAAACGTGATATACAACCACTTGTCCTGGAAGCATTTCGCTTCAAAAGTGATCTAGAATCAGAATTTTTGGCTGCGTCTTTGGTTATTAGTCACGGAGGCGCTGGAACTTGTCTCCGTGCGCTGACACCGGGTGGCGAACGTCGACTCATCGTCGTTATCAATGAAACTCTCATGGGAAACCACCAAGAAGAACTAGCTAGTGCACTCTCTGAAGGAAGGCATGCGCTAGCTACGACGCCATCTAAACTTATCGGTTTTCTCCTTCAGGACTCTGAAGCAATTCAAATTCCCTCTCAGGTAAGTAACCACATTATTAGGGTCAACTTCCCTACCGATACTTTTTATGAGATGTCTCATCGTTTTCATTAACTTGTCCGTCCTTTTTATCACTTTTCACGAATATTTTACATCAGTAGGTTCCCTAGAAAGTAATTGCCTGTTAACTTCAGAACCTCGCCAACGGTATATGGTCCATCAATACNGTAGTGTCTTCCGACCGACAATGTAACATGCTTGAGAGTTGTCACGTAGGTAACTGCGTGACCAACTACGGTAGCGCATCAAAGATAACCGCCCGCATTTCCAAGGCTCGAGCAGCGTACACAGGACTAAAACACCTGTACTGACGACGGGATGTTTTATTGAAGTTGAAAAGTCGCATATACTGCAGCAGTGTACGATCAGTTCTGTTTTACGGTTGTGAGACCTTGAATTCGCGGTAGAAGACACCCGTCGCCTGGTGGTTTTCGACAATCGATGCTTACGTAGCCCGGCCCAAATGGGATGGAGTGAACGGGTTAGTAACCTACAAGTAAGTCTTCGGGTGTTTGGGAATGCATCGAACGAGAAATCGATATTGCATCGAATTCCACTCAGTAGGCTCCGTTGGTTAGGCGACGTTTTGCTTATGCCTACCGCAGCGCGCCTTGTTTGCAGTGGCTGTTACAGGCTGGAGAAAGATACATGAAGGCCAGCAGATGACGTGGAGACGAGACATGAAGAAATGCACAGAGGGATTAGGTAAAGTAGGTGTCTCTTGTCTTCCGGGGTGAGATCCAAATTACTCCGTAACCGCATGGTTGGAGACAATGAAGGNCATGGCTGCGAACCGACAGCAATGGCGATCATGCTGTCAGTTCTTATCAGACCAGAATGCTTGGAATAGTATGTATTCATAGTTGTACTGTGTACTCTGTGTTGACCATAGAGGTTCGCTTTCATTTCCCGTCCCTAAAATTAAGTCCAGTATCTATCCTTACACATTCTCACATACGTTGTATGCAATATGAGTTGGGCAGCGATCAGTGAAGTTTGCTTCACTGTATTACGCTGTACAATGATGAATGATGAGTTGTCATCATCTTGTATCCGCTTGTTCCGCATGTATGCTTTCGCTTGGTTGCAGGCATTGGTTGCTTTGGGCGTTCGCTCATACATCCTTCTCCTTTGTAGCATGGATTGTCAATATCATGAGACGGCTTATTCAGCTAGATCTTTCAGCTTTTTTAGGTCACTGCCACCGATTAAGTAACTTCACTCTAGACGGTGTGTGAGTTCAGTGCTACACCTTCGATTGCTAAGCTCATCGTTTTCAGACACTCGAGCGTACTCAGGCTTAAATTCCGGTACCCTTAAGGGAACAATATATTTTCCCTTGACTAATCGGTTGTTATTCCTGATACACACCGGAATATCGAGAAACACGGGAAGTTAGAGATCAGATTGCTTTCGCAGGTCGTGAGGTAGCATCATCTCTTGTTTTTTATCACACACTTTTGTGTCATGAATACCAGACAGGATAAACTCCATAGTCACGAGGTCCTGCTGTTCAGGGATGGAAACCCGTAACCTAAGCCCATGGACTTGGAGTGATAAACCACATAAGACCCCGATAGGCTGGTCGTGGTATTGAACCGGACGACAGCAAAGCTGCCTACCAACAAAGTTGGGTGGTGGTGGCTGGGCTCGAACCTCGAACCATAGGGTCCAAAGCACGCCGGTGACAGCAACTAAACTACTGCGCCACCACCACTCTAAACGCTATTGTGTCACTTTATCACTTACCAAGAGAAAGTGTCGTCGGATTTTCAGTTTTTTGATTGGTCGCAGCCAGCGGTTTTTACTTACACACTTTCGTGTGATGAACAGCAGACGAGATAGAACCTCATGGTCACGAAGACCTGCTGTTTAGTGATGGTAACCTAAGCGCCGGGAATTAGAGTGGTGAATCACAAAAGGCCTATAGGTCAGGCAAGGTATTAAACCGGGTGACAGCAAAGCTGTCTACCAACAAAGCGTGCCTTGGATTGCTAATAATGTATATCTCGCACAGCTCCATGAAAACTGTACTTAACTCATCTTACTGAATACTTTACCCTTCCTCCTGATGCCGCATATGACAGCGCGCAGATCCCTCAAAGGCCAGCTCATCAAGAGTCTGAGGAATGAGAAGTGGTGGATAGGAAAGTGTAGTTCGATGGAGAAGGCTGCGGCTATTGGTAATGGTCGCAATCTTTTCCGTCTAATTAGGAATACGGGTCCTAGGAAAATAAGCGTAAGTGAGGTAATTAAGGAATCTGATGGCACGCTGATTCACGGTCAGCAACGACGTCTTGATCAATGGGCTGAACATTTCAAGGCTCAGTTCAACTGGCCCCCATCGACATCTGAACTGTTACTCTCCACTGCGACTGCGCAAATTCTGCCAGTCGATGCCAGTCCTCCATCCGAAGTGGAGATTTACCGGGAAACAAGCTATCTCAAAAGGTATAAGGCCTCAGGCCCAGACGTGCTCTCCCCATCCGTTTTTAAGGATGAAGGCATATCACTGGTTTCAGAGTCAACGAAACTCCTGGGCTCAGTGTTTGAGAGGGAACAGGTTCCAACTGAATAGTGTGAATCGGTCATCATACCGATTTACAAAAAGGGTGACAGATCCTCTTGTGAAAACCACAGAGGAATTAGTTTAGTTAACATTACTTCTAAACTTCTCGCTGGAATCATACTCCGTCGATTGTCTGCCGCACGGGAAGAGTGCACACGTGAGAACCAGACCTAGTCGAGGTTGTATCGACCACATCTTCACTCTTCGTCAAACTCTGGAGCACCAAAATTCTTCCCGTAGACTCATCATCTCTATTTTCCTGGATCTTAAAGCGGCCATCGACTCAGCCGACCGCTCTAAACTCTGGCGCTGCCTTTCTCTGAAAGGTGTGTCCGAGAAGCTTATTTCAATATTACGATCCCTCTGTACTCATAGCCGAAGCCGAGTCCGAGCTTACGGCACGTTTTCACTCGAGTTCACCACGAAAAGTGGTGTTCGACAGGGTTGCTCTCTCTCCATTTCTATTTAACTTTGTTATAGATTTCATTATGGAAACAGCCCTATCCTCGTGCGAGGGTAGTGGCATAGATTTACTTNTATGCAGACGACATTGTGCTATTAAGTGAAGATCCAGGTAAGTTACAAGCTTTTCTGAATAGTTTGAGTGCTACTGTGTCCGTGTTTGGTATGCGTTTTGCACC